TTCCTGCTATACATTTCCTTCTTAAAATATTGCTAAATAAAAATATTAAATAAGTAAAATAAATGAATAATGAGAATAAAATATAGAGTTTATAAATATAAAATTTACTGTCGCTGTTTTCTAGTAAAAGGAACTGGTTGACTAATGACAGTTTGTATTCACGATTTTCGATTTTGCTAATTACAATTAAAAATTTTTGCAAGCTCTTTACTTGACGATAGAATTACCGATAAATCGCTAGCCATTCGGATTTTTCAGTGACGGGCTTATTCTTAGGAAATTATACAGATCTGAGCAGTTGCAGTCTTATCACTCGACAAACCTTGCATATTAGCTAGATACTACAGAATTGAGCAAAAGTTTTTTAACAAAAATTTAATATTAAAATTTTTCAAAATTATTAATATTTATCAAATTATTTATATTACTTATTACCATAGGATTGCCATAGAATTAGTATCAAAATCGTTATTAATATTGGAATTATTATTAGTACTAAATTTATTTTTATCAACGCCAATTTTATTAATTAAAGAAGTATTAAAGAGAGGTTTTCGGCTTAAGGCGTTATCGTAATTTTTATTAAAATTTGAAATTTGATTTTGAGAAAAAACGCGAAAAAATTATAAAAATCCACTGAGAAAATTAATTTTTCTTTTTTAAATTCTCTTATTGAATTCATTGAAATATTTGTTTCGAGTTTTTTTCATTTCGCTGAATTCTTTGCTTTCATGTAAATTTATATGCGTTTAAAGGCCATCTGCTGTTAATTTAACCATTGTGTTAGTTCTATCGATCTTCTTTATAAAAATGTTCGTAAAGAAGTGTGAAAAAAATGCGCTTTTAATTTAAATTAGATTTTTAAGGAATAATTAATGAGTAAATGATTAAATAATAAGGAAGGAAATTTTGATTAATTAACAAAAGAAATTATTTCGACTTTTAGAAATTTAAGAGATTTCTTCCATATTCTGTTCCCAAGTGGTTCTTTGGTGAAGCTCTCTCATCTTAAGCAAGAATGGAGTCAGCGAAGACAGAAATGTTGGATGAAGAAAAAGATGGATAGTGGAAGAAATGCGGTTCTCGGTCCCTCTCACTAAATATCTAACCAAGAGCTTAGATGATTTCTTTTGTAAAATAAAGAAGATAATGAATGAAATGAAATATTGAAAATAACTGCAGAATCACAATAAAATGAAATAAACTGGTTTGCAGTTCGGTGATAAATCGTTTGTCGTTATCCGTTTTGCTTCTTAGCATTCGCAGTTTCGATTACAATAAATTACTTTTTATTACCAAATTTTTTTTATTCAATTCCCAATTTCTTAAAATTTTTAATATTGACATATGGTGGACATTCTTTTCTTATTAGCCTTCATTATTTTATATGATAATAGAAGGCAGAAAGAAGATGCTCGAGTGCTACGTTTCTTCAACAAAGATCAGATATCATAAGTTTGATTTTTTCCGCTCGACAGGAGGATATATTGCTTAGTGGTGTTGGGAATCCACTTGTTCATCTGTTCCCAATTGATCCTGTGGTAAAAGGATCTCAGCTTCATAGTTAGTGGAGAAAGTCAAACCAAAAATAATGAATGATGTTAAAAGACGACAAAATCCAACTTCCCCATATTTTATTTTATCGAAATTTTAAATTTTTCTTTCCAACAAATAGTACTCTCGTCTTATGTTATTCTTATCAGAAAAATTAGGTAAGAAATGAGGATATTCATCTCTTTTCCTGTATTTTTATTGTTTTATCGTGATTTACCAAAATCTTTTGTAAAAAGTAGTTCGATTATTGAAATTTAAAATCGAATTTCTAACACCACAAAATTATGTTATAATGGATTTTAAGTGTGAATTTTATGGCATTCATTCTAATAATAATACACTTTTGGTTTGGCTTACTCCACAGTTATTAGGCTGAGATCTTTTGCCAGACCTAAGTTTCCTATATTAAATCATCCCTCTCTATATCGCTTAAACCTTTTAAAAATTTGGTCGAATCAAAAGCGATAGAATCCAGATGAAGCAGTTGGTTACAAAAAATTTAGAAAAACAAAGGTGAACAACTTGTTAAAAGAGTCTGCATGGGGAATCGAATAAAGACCATAGGGAATTCAATCCAACAATTCGCTCGATCAGTCTCGACCTCATTTACCAGCGCTCCATAATCATTTATATTGTTTCGTATTGTCATAAATTTTTCATAACCTAGAAATGAATAGAAATTTAACAGCGAAAAATGGAGGGGATTAAAGGAACTAATCCAGAAATTCTTTATCATAATCCCCGTTTCATTTGTAATTTCGTTCCCATTGCTCTAATTCACTTTTTTTTATTCCATTATTTTTCTTCTAAAAAAATTATTAATTTCATTTTAAACTAATCGATTGCAATTTATTTTTAGTTTTTAAGAATCTAATAAATTTTGCATTTATTTTTATTTTTTTAAAAATTATAAAAGTTAATTTTCATATGGCAGATCGCACAGTTTTATATAAAAATTTCTTTTAAGATTATAATTTTCAGTAAATAAACTAATATAAATGTGAGTAGAATGGTTCAATGGGTTGTTGTTCAATCCGGAACAAAGTTGGCGAAGTCCTACTCAGGACTTGGGAGGAGTAAATCTGCCTAAAATCCGGAATTGCTGGCGACTCATCTGTATCTATCGCTAAGGGCCTCCGGGACATATTTGTCCAATGCGACAAGCCAGCGATGCGGGTTAAACCAGTAATAGTGAGGACTCTTAACAAAAAAGTTAATGTTCGATAGATAAAATAATATTTGATAATAGAAGTAGCGTTGGGTCCAGCACCACATAGATTCCATTTTTAATGATAGATTTACCCCATTCAAAGGGAACCCGTGGTGTTCCATTTTAGTGGAAATAGCATTATCAATTTTATCCTTGATATTTAAATTACATATTTAAATTTCATAATTATTGAGTGTTATATTGTTTTAATTCTTAGATTTCCAGTTTTTTTAGATAAGAGAAGTCCATTAATGTAAAAAATCCGCTAAAAAATGTTTAGTCTCGAATTATTTCGCACAACAACGAATAACAATCATTTTTAATACAGACAAATTTAATAGATTCCTCTTCCCTCTGCATTTTATTATTTATTCAGTGAATTTATTTCCATGGATTTTCTTTCTCTTTAGGTGTTTAATTTAGCACCATTGGTCCTCTGGTTCCCGTAACAAAAGGCTTATTCCCTTTAAGCAATAGGAGCTTAGCCCATGACGCTTGAATTCAACCAATCGTTTTTATGCAATGAAAACATAAATTTATTAAAATTAGAGATTTTTCCTTTGTTCTTCTTTTTTATTTATAAAGAAATAATTTCAACGCAGTTGTTAAAAGTGTGTGCATTTGCATTGAATGGTTTCGTGCCAAACGAATCTTAAATTGCTAAGCAACATAAAGTTTGCATATAAAAAGACGCGTGAATCGCGTGCTTCGTGCTTCGAAGAATCTTTCACGAAATTCTTTGCTAATTCACAGTTCACCGATGACCGGCAAAACCAAATTTTTTATTTTTAGCAAATTGCCCTATTTTAAGATTTTTTCGTTCGCAAGAATATTATTGCATTCATCGAGTTTCTGTTCGATTGTTTTGAGTGTTAAACTTACATTTTGGCTCCTTTCAACTTTCTTTTTTCCCTCGAATAGCATTCGCCATTTTCGGTCCAACTGGCTGAGTTGGTTATTAGGGGTGCTTTTTTAGAGAGTCACTTGGTGATTTATGAGCCCTCAGCGTTGGCTACTATCGCTTTTTAAGTCCTTTATTGTTCCAAACTTTTTATGCAAATCTTCATTTATAACTGCTGAATTAAGCCATGCCATTCATTTTTTTGGCATATCTGTTATTTAACAATTTTTAAGAACAAAAACGATTTGCAGGATGAATTAAAACTAGGATTTCTTGCAAAATATGGAAGAAGCTCATTACGATACACCATGGGAATATATTCACAGAAATCCCCCTTTACTCAGGTAACATTATTTGCTTCTTTTTTTGCGCAATCACTGAGGTGGTTGAAATTCGGAAATAGCAAAAAAGGAGATTAAATAATATTTATTTTTGGAATCGATTAATAAGAATTATTTCAAAACACATTTATTTACACACTTTAGTGGACAAAAAATTCGGTTAGCAGGGAATTCACTGAATTAATAAAATTTATATTCATTCATCGATTCGTTTTCATTAATCGTTTTAGAATGAGCAAAATTTAGAAATTTTCTTAAAATGTTGATAAATTACGGTAATTGTAATAAAATAGAATGTGAATGTGGTTACATTTCCCATAAATCTGATTGAATTTTATTGCTGATATTTTAAACTAAGAAAATAGAGAAATTTCTGGGATAAAGAATCTTAAAAATTTTGAAATAAATAAATGAGGTAATGCTAACAATCGAAGTTGAGCCTTTAAAAAGGCAAACAAGGTTAAGTTCACAGGCCATTAGCGGACTGAGGGTTTTGCCAGAGAACCATTCGGAAATAGAAATAAAGGCAGTTCAATTGGATCAATCTTTTTCTTCCCCTCTTCCGCTAGCTCGAATCACTACTGGTTAAGTTGTTTGCACCAGCTAAAAAGATGAGCAATACCAAAATTTTCTTAGATTTATCCTGTCAGTAATGGGGCCGCTTAAATGAAAATTTTAAGCACATTTACGATATTAGAAATAAAATCTAAGTAACACGCATTCCCTCGGCGACTCAAAAGGGTTGGTTGTTTGCAACGAATGCTACTTTATTCAAATGCTTATTCAGATTTGATCGACCACATTCGGAATCTCCGGAATCTTTTTCGAAAAAACGCCTGGAAAATGTAGGCGACGTTATCCATGAAGAATCAGAATTTTTTGTTAAGAAGAGGAATTCGCAGAAAATCCGCGGGATTTTGCCGATAACTTCGACCATTTACAAGGTTATTTACTGTATGGAATGTCATTTCACCGATCGTTGAGCTTGAAAACGATGCTTATGACTCAATTTAAACAACGTCTCTACTTGAATTTTAGTATTTAAATAAGTAACATCGGGAAATTTCACATTGCATTAGTAAAATTTGTTTCTCGCGTAGTGTTTCTCCATTGCCATTATTTTCTCTTAAACTACTTGTTTCTCTTATATTCGCTTAACTCTCGCTTGCTTCGATCTAGCAAAAATTCTGGGATTTTAAAATGTGAATAATGACAAAATGTATTCAGCATATTTTTCTACTGAACACTAATAATTCCACAATAGTTGTATATTTTCGAAATCCAAGGAAGAATTTTTCAGAATAATAAAGTAGATCAAAAAATTTGGACCACAAAAAATGAAAAAAATGAGAGGAGAGCATCATCATCGGAACATGAACGCAAAAAAATCAAATTAAGTTTGGGTAAATTTTTGTTTGAATGTTAAAGATTCATTTTTTTTTTTAAAGAGTCCTCACCATTGCTGGTTAGACTCCACTGGCTTGTCGCATTGGATAATAAGGTAGGGAGTACCTTGGCGATAGAAATACAGGTAAGTCGCCAGCATCACCCTGATTTTTGTACAGGTTTACTCCTGCAGGGAATCGAACCTCAGCATCGGCGTTCCCAACTGAGCAACAACCCACTAAGCCTTTCTTATCCCCTGATTCATTAAATCTTATTTAAAAGTTGATTTGTTCATTTATGTGAAGAAATTTCAAAAAAAAGAAAATCCTTTTCGAAATAAAATAAAACGTTTCTTGCTAATATTTTAGGGCGTTTTAATGGACAAAATTCATCAAAAAGAGAGCGCATTTGTGAAGAAGATTTAGTTCATAAAAATATGGATCGAGTCGAAGCTGAGCGATGCCTTCTAAACCACGAAATTGGAGCCTTTCTTATAAGAAGGCGAGATAATGATAATTTGGCATTGTCGATACGAGCTGTCAACGGTAATCTGCACATAAAACTTGAAGTAAACGTCAATTATAATATTTGATTCATCTTCTTTCTTACAACACGCGCTTTGAATTTGGTTCACTGCACTAATAATTAAGAGGGCAATCTATTCGCTAAGGAGCCACATTAGAAACAGAGATGGGTTTCCACCCAAATTTTGTTTTTAATAATAGGTTTAATTCCACCAAGATGCAATGATTATGTTGATTCTGGATGGTAAAACCACAAGTCTGTTCATTTATTCAATCTATTCATTTATCAGAATTTCTTAATGTGAATATTTCCTTAGAATGTCGATATCACTTGGATTTACTGGATTATCACCTCTGCTATTAACCTTAATTTGGATTTTTTAGTTTCGTAACAATCGATGGGTGCTTGGTGAAGGTCCATCATTTAACAATATATTAACGATTGTTAATTATTATCGAACTCATGAACTTCCAGTGCGAGGTGCTGAACGAATGATTCTCAGAACTCCTATCCTCGTTTCAACTGTTGATTCTAATATGTATGCATAAATTCACTTACGTACCTCAAATTATTGCAGTCTAAAAATTCTAGAATGGACCATTTTATAATGTTTTATGAATTTTTCAACCATTCCATTCAACAGTGAGCAATTCCCGATAAATAATCCTCCTTTCAATTCTCGACTGCAGTAGACTTTACTGTAATATCTCGATTGCGAGAATAATAAATTTTATGTATGTACAATAAAATTCTTAATATATAAAACACAATTAAAGTTATTATGCTTTCAAGTTATTATGATTTCTTTAATTCAGAGCCATTTTTCATCTTACCGTATCTGATTTAAAAATAAGGAAAATATAGGCTCAATAATATAAAATCGATAAAATACTCGAACATAACGCAACCTGAAATCCACTTATGACCAATTCAATCATCTCATCGAAAATCGTTAAGAACATTACACGAAACCTAAAAATCCGAAATGAATCAAAATTTCAAATGAAAATCAAATCAACGGATGAATTTCAGATTAACAAATTTTAAAATAAATCGTTATGGTAAATTGTCATATATGAACAATTCACACCACAGGAATTATGCGAAATTATTTCAAATAAAGAACGAATGAAATAAAAAAAAAAGATAAAAGAGAACATAATTTTTTACAATTATTGGTCGATTTCGATCGCTTTACCGCTTTTAGAGACATCTAGATGAGGATACAAAACAACTGGATTTGACAAAGAATTCTGACGACCAACGAAATCTTTCCATTTCGACCAGCGCTCTTTCTGATATTTTTTGAGAAAGAAATCGTACAGATTAAGTTTTTCTAAAAAAAATATATTAATGCACCTAAAAAAAATACCTTTCTCTATGGGTTGTAAGCATCATCCTCAATCTCGAATTCTCCATCAAAGGTCTGGGAGATTGAGGAATCTGTGCAATATCTTAACTGTTTCTAGCAGTAGGCTCTTCAGGGACAGAGATTTCTGATGATGCTCCTGGAATCTGCTCAGGCCACTTTTATAGTTTAGAATTTAAGTGCTCCAGTTATCATTGAGATTACTTTGGCCTTTACTTCCAACATCTTTTCCTCAGCCCCTGGAATTTCCCTAATTTTTCATATTCTTTCTTCCTAACCACTTTGATACTGTTTCTGCCACTTAATATTGTTATCACCAGTGTTGATTTCTGATTCTTATCTATGATGTGTGGTTGACTGACAAATATTTATTATCTATCTGGATGGAGAAGTTCTACAGGACCTTCGCTTTATTATTGCATATATATATATATATATATATTTCAAAATGTTTGAATTTTAAAAGTATTCGTAGCCAACTGCCTATTAAATCAATATATCGATACAAAATGCAATATACTCACCAGAAGGATAAAATGGATCAGGACAGAATGGGTTGCTCAACTGGGCGCGCCGAAGCTGAGGTCCAGCCCCCCGCAGGAGTAAATCTGTATAAAAATCCGGGTGAAGCTGGCGACTCACCTGTATTTCGATGGCCAAGGGATTTCCTGGCTTATCCAATGCGGCCAGTGGAGCGAATCTAACCAGTAATGGTAAGGATTCTTAAAAAAAAAATCACCGGAAGAGGCCCATAAATGAGAGTTTTTCCTTGATTTTTTTGCAGGAGGAGAATTACTTCGACTTTCCACATTATGCCCATCAATGCAGGTTTTTGTTGCAATAGATCTGAATATGAAACTATCCATTTAAAAATAAAATAAAACAGCAAGAAAAAATAGAACTTTTCACTTTTCATTAACAAAATACAATTACGAGACTAACTTGCAATCAATAAGAGAAACGTCCACAATCGACAAATGAGTAGACCTATCAAGGCCAGAAATCTGCAATACAAAATCATTGCAATAAAGAAAAAAATTCAACATACATTTAACATATGAATGAAAAATTTTAACAAAAGGTAAAAACACCTGAAGAAACACATTGAAAACTTCTAAATGACGCTCCGAATGATTAACGTAATTGCGAAGATGATTTAAAATTTCATTACAAGAGATTCGAAATTGTTCATCTCTGCAAAAAAACGACCGTAACGGAAAATTATGATGGATATAATAAGTGTTAGCCATGTTGCACTTTGAACTATTATCGAATGAAAAAATAAACAAGTTGAACAAAAGATTAAAATTTATTTTAATCTTAATATAATGAAGATTAAAGATTAAATAAACAAGTTGAACAAAAGATTAAAATTTATTTTAATCATAATATAATGAAATTAACCATTTTCTGCATTAAGTAAGTGAAATAACCTGCTTAGCGGATTTTTAAATTTTATACAATTGATAGTTTTGGCAGTAAGCGGTTCTTTCGTATCTTTATATGACATAAAAGTGTGAAAGAATTCTCTACATTTATTGACATCACTCGTTGAAAGTTCACGTTTTTTGATTAAACTTAACAGTGGTTCAAATTTCTAAATAAAATTTAATGCTTAAATGCAAAAAAACTGCGGAATGATGAAATATTTGTTTTGTAATTGGAAACTCCAAAAGAAAGAACTTTTTTGCTTTTTCCTTTTCTTTTTTAAACCACTCAATCACAAAACCACTGCACAAGATTTGTACAAAAATTAAAACAATAAAAGAGGATTATAAATTAAAAAACCAAAGAAGATTAATTTAAGCTTTATGAAGTAAATATAACTTATTAAAAGGAAAAGGAAATGAAAAAAAGGAAAGGAGAAAAAGGAAAGGAGAAAAAGGAAAGGAGAAAAAGGAAAAGGAAATTAAAAGGAACTCGGAATTAATTAATATAGCAAACTAATAAATATATTATATGTTAATTTTTAAATTTTTGGAATATTTAAACCTTCGGAATATTGTAAATGAAAGCATCAGTGAGCAATAATGGCCAAAAACGAGTTAAACGCTTGAGATGCTTCCTAGCACGTTCATTATAAGTATTTGCTGATTCTTCTGAAATTTTTTAGGCATTAATACGTATTTGACAAATAAAACAATTATTAAGCCTTAAATATGAAAAGAAACATCAAGGAAAATATCAGGTAAAATAACTTTTTGCAGTTGGAGGAACAATCAAATGACATTCTTTCATAAGAGCTCCAAAATCGATTACGCGCAGTCCATCTACTTGAGGCATTTGAGCAGCCGCAATCAATTTTTTATCATCAAAAAGGGCTAAAAATCAATAAACAGTGGTGATAAGAGCAATGAAGTTCAAAAATGATTTAAAAATACTGAAATCAAGAAAAGTTAATTAAGAAATAATTAAGAATTAGCAATTAAGTTTTAAAAAAAATAGAATCCACATAAAATTTGGTCATGTAAAAAGATAAAATTGTTACAGATGAAAAAATTTCAATGAAAAAAAAACTTACGATGTTCACCGACCCATAACGTATGCATAAAAATATGACCAGCATGACACATTAACAAATGAGAAATTAATTTCTGATTGATATTTGGCGGAATATCACGAGCAGAATCAATATTTTGTCGTAATACCTGAATCGCGAACTTTAAAATGAATTGAAATGATATAATAAATCAAGCTATAAGACAACTAGTGATTGAAATTTTTCTTCTTCTAAAAGCTTTTATCATTACTGGTTAAGCTGCCTCCACTGGCTACAAGGGTAGGATGTTTACAAGCGGAGCGATCTGACGCCATCGTTGACATTAATAGAAGCTATCCTTTTTTCATCGTTTAAGTCCATATATTACTGAATCTACCTAATTCAAAATCTTTCCTGACCCTATCAATCCAGGTGATTGGGTCGCCTCGCTTTTGGCGTCACCCATCAAAGGGTTTAGTAAGTAACGGAATATGCGTCAATTCTTGTGGTGAACAACGGAGAATGTGCCCTAATCACCGAAGGTGACGCTCTATGATTATTAATACAGGTGATGTCTGAACAAAGGTGGATGCGATCATATTTTATCCGCTCGAAGGACCCGCAAAATGTACTTTAGACGATCGTGGTCAAAAGCATATTTAATATACTCCACTCCAATTGGCCATATCTCACGGCCATATGCTAAGATCGAATGAATCATGGTTATATAGATGCGAACATTCGTTTTAATGGTAATTTCACAACTCTATAAAGGTTTCGTCAAGAACATTTTTAGCTGCCGTAATCCGGGTTGTAATATCGTCTTTTGCCTGGCACTATCGTGTTCCATAACCCTCCATTTGGCATTAAAGTGGGCACTTCCAACAACCGGCATGAATTTACAAAAAGAGACATTTTATCAGCTTCTTCTACATAAGACGAAAAGACTTTTATTTACTTTGACCCTAAGTCCGATTCTCGTTGCAGTTACTGACACATTTAGCATTATTTGCATTTCTTCATAAGTGTCAGTAAAAAGGACTACATTCATCAATGTATTCAAGATGATACAATTTCGCTGGGCTAATTTCGAATGCCGACAAGCCGTGTCCATTATCCAGTCTATCGCATAGTTGAATATTGTAGGGGAAAGGACACAACCTTGACTTCGAAGGATTCCGTCAATTCCCCACATACATAGACTTGCACCGACACTTACGCTCATAAAATGCCTTTATGAGTCGAATGATCTTCTCTAGAATACTGTCGCGTTCCATCATCACATTCTTCCAAAGCGCCGCTCTATCAATTGAATAAAAAGCAGGCAGCCGCAAAATCAATGAAATAAATGACAATGGGTTGCTGACATCTGAAACGATGTTGCAACATCCTTCTTAACGTGAATCGCGCCCGACCCTGAATCCAGCTAGATTTGGGCACATCCTGCTATCTACTTCCATAAGTCTGTTGAGTAAAAGGGAAGCAAAATTTTCGCTGAGACGCCTAGGCTAATTTCTCGATAATTGTCGCAGTACGTCCTATCATCTTTCTTGAGAATTGGGAGCAGAATTGTTTTGCTCCAAACATCTGGAAATATTTCTTTTTTCCATACCAGAGATACTTATTGAAGGTGCGTTATGAAGGACGATGGAAACATTTAAAGAGTTAGCCCGAAGACCATCTTCTCCCGGAATCTTATTGGTCTTAAGCTTATGGATAACAGATATTATTTCTTCTTCTGTCGGGGACTGATTGCAATCATATCGTTCAGCGAACGTACCAGTTATATCAGAGGCAACAGATGGCGCTTCATGTTAAGTTTGGCCTCAAAAAATTTTTTCTACCTTATAAAGCAGCCCTTAACCGGCACGCCACTGCTATCACTTGCCATTTCACTGATTCTTCTCCGAGTTATAGTTGTTTTATGAAGAGGGAGGGATAGTTTCCTATTGTCGCCTAATCAAGCCTTCATGTCCATTCTCAAGGCCATGTCACTCCAATAGTGATTTCTGTCCCACCACGCTGCTTTCGTTGTAAATCTCTAAAGCATCCGATAGTCAGGACCATCTGACATACATACTTTGAGTGCTTTTTTAAACAATTGGACAGTTGCTTCCGACACCCAATTAACACACTTCCCTCTAATATGTCCTAGCGTAGAAGTGGCTGTTCGGAGATATTCCTTTAGTTGGAATCAGTATTCATTTGCTGTTCCAGAAAGAAAAATGAAATTTATATTACTGAGATACTTCAATAATTCGGTTTGAAATGCGCTCACTGTCCCCGAATTTTTTAGTTTGAGATAGTTTAAGGATATTGGGGAATGTACTGCGAGTTTTATGCGAATCTTGGTTCGAATCATAACCATAACATGGCCAGATCCATGAAGATTGCCGAGAAATGATCATCTAGCATGATGATAGGAATACATAAAACATATATAATATATGATATCTGAAAGTTAGGAAGAAAGCCAATTCTAAGAAGATATCACTGGATTGGGACGAAAGAGGAGACGCAAATAGATGGGATTTGAAAGGGAAAGAAATATCAGTAATTATATCATAATTATATCAAAAGGATCAAAATTTTTTAAAAAAAAACCTCCAACATAACATTTCGTCCACCTAGAAGAAAAGATGTCAAGCAAACTGATGGACGACTATTGACACTTGCTGGTGATACAGGAACAGCAGATATGCAGCGAGGATACTAAAAAGATAAGAAAGGTAATTTTTTGGTTATATACTGAGAAGCGACTAAAAAAATAGTTCGGAGATGGGGATATAGTTAAAATGGTGGAAGAAAGATGAGGAAAACAGAAATAGAAAAATGCTAGCATACAGACGTACCTGAAGAAATTAGCGTTTGAAATGTGTTACAATTTTCAAAACAAAATATCAGAAAAATTTAATATATTTGTATATATTTGCTGAATAATATTGGTTAACCTGATTCCAACGATTTTTGGCTGATGGGGTCGTCCAAGATAACTGAATTGTATCATAACCACCAAGTTGGCGCGAACGTAATTTTGAACTTGAATCAATTAAATTTAATTTTTCAAGTATGATATAACTTCGTCGAGGATGGAATACTTCCACATCATAATTTACTGACTGTCCTTGCTGTGCTTCTTCCTGAAATGCTACATTTCAGAACTAATTTTAACAACAATTAAATTTCTGCTAAAATACGTTATTAAGCCTACTTTCATCGGAATACTTGTGACCGTCGTAGATACTAGATCATATTGATCCATTATAACACTATGAACAACCGATCGGAAAGAAGGATCAGCTTCTGCACATCGAACACAGCAAGATACATGTTCATTAATCTCAAGAATATATCAATATGTCTTATAATATATATATATATATATATATTGATTGTATAAAAATATATAATAATTGGGTAAGTGAATTATAAATTAGTTCGGAGCATGCTTATGTTGATCTACTTATTCCCTAATTAAACTTTGTTTCGTTACAGCATTCTCTTAAAAACTAGTGAAAGAATGCAGGAACACGATCAAAAGAAATGAATCTAAAAACAGAATATAAATTCCTACCTTGGTCAATGGTTTCGACGTAATTCGTTCGTCATCACTTCTGTTGCTCACTGGTATAAGGCATACAATATATACATTAACATGCATAATCGGTGCGAAGCTAGAAATTAGAAGAGAAGATTAAATTAATATTAAATTACTGGATACTTGCTTTTTTTGAAATAGGGATTAACTCTTAGTGGGATTAACTTTCTTTTTGTTACCTGACGTTTAAAAAAAACATGTTTCCAGCATCGAAAAGAAAATCTAATCACGTGAAGCTTCCTCAGATAATCAATATTCCGACAAGGACGATTCTATTTTAAATTGACAACTCGCAAAAAACAGCATCTCCCAAAGTCTTTCAACTATCTCAAACTAAAAGATTAGGGGATAGTAAAAATTGAATTATTGAAATATTTCAATGATATCAGCAACATCTCTGGAACCGCACACGAATACTGGTCTAAAGATGCTCTTCGAGCTAAACTCTTCAAATGCTATCCGTCAGCCTTCATAATACATCTTCAACGGTCCTGGTATGGAAGAAAGAAATAGAATCAGAAGACTGGAAAAAAAATCGCCAATTCCTAAGAAAGATGACAAGATATAATGTGATAATTATCGAGAAATCAGCCTATTAGATTTCTCCGAGAAAATTTTTGCTTCCCTTCTACTGAATAGGCTTATGACAGTACAAGATAGCAGGATACGCCGTAAATAACTAAAAATTGGCTTTATATCCGCGATTGTGCTGACTAGATTAAAGGGTGCTGGAATATCGCTTCAAAATATTTAAGGAATTTGTGAACACATCGACGTAGATCTGGGTATATGGGGAACTGACAAGCCCTTTCTAAATGAGAACTGGTGCCCATCAAGGCTTCGTCCTTTCTCCTATAATATTCAGCAATGCGATGAACTGGATAGTGTACATCGCTTGACGGCAACCAAGAGGTGGTGTAAAAATCAGTCCAAAAATCGTATCGCAGACTTGAATACGCTGATAATGTAGTCCTTTTTCCTGATAGTTACCATAAAATGCAAATAATGCCAAACAACGTGCCAATGAGAATCAGACCCAGGGAAAATGTAAAAAACGAAAGCCTTCTTATATACAAGATAAAATTCTTACTATTTTTATAAATTCACTGCCAGTTGAGAAAGTATCCGATTTTAAATACTCTGGACCCAATGTCATATGGTCATGCAAAAGACGAAATTACAACCCAGAAAACGGTAGCTAGAAATGCTTTCTTCAGGTCTTGAAACCTTAATGGACTCGTCGAGAAATCACGATGAAAATGTAAGTCGGCGTCCATATTGCTGCAATTCGCGCGATTTTGCTATATGGCTGCGAGACATAGCCGATAAGCGTAGAGCATGTTAAGAAGCTATTTGTCTTTGACCACTCATATCTAAGCTAAAGTTCACTGAGCTGATATAATCTCACATGATTTCATCCACTCCACTCAAATGCCCACTGCATTAATATTACCATCACGGAGCGTCGCCTTCGCTGGTTAGGCACGTTCTCCGTAGTCCACCACAACAGTTGTCGCATATTTCGTTACTTGTTGTGTGATAGATGGTGTCAAAAGCAAGGTAGGCCAATCAAAACCTGGACTAATACAGTTAAGAAAGATTTTGAAGGGGATATATGGACTTAGACGGAAGAAAAAGGAATAGATCTATTACTATATTACTATATGATGACATTAGATTGTGGAGCTTGGAAATGTCTTATCCTTTAAGCCAGGGAAGCTAGCTTGACCATCAATAGTAAGGGCTGTTAAAAGAAAAAGAATTTTTCTCGTACTTTTTCTATCACCATTTTAATCCTGAAGCATTTTCGAAATGAAATTAAAATTTTTTTTTGGAAAATCACAGTGAACTAACTTTTCGTCATCATCTAAAGCTTTAATAATTTTGTTGCGATTGATAATATCTTCTGTGATATGTTTCTCAATCACCGTTATTTCTTCATCGCTAAAAAAATAAAAACTCAGATCACGAAAACCGTTCGCTCAAAAATACAAAAAGAAAAAATTTTTTGCTGTCAAAAATTTTGAAAAATTTCTTATTTTCATTATATTCCAAATAATCACCAGTAATTTATATATTTTAATCTTTAATTTTATTTTGTTTCAAAAAAATATTTTAAATTGGCAAATTATATAATTGAGTTTGAGAAAAATATTCATTAAAACAGTTAAACAAATCAAATTTTACATACGTTTTAATAGAGGTGAAAACTACGATAGATCCGGTATTCCTCGTGATTTTTTTCGCATCAGTGCTACTTTCCATAAGACATTTGTTGGCAAATAAAATTTTCTTTTTTATAGATTCGGAATTGAGCTGAAAAATTTTACGAAAAAAATTTGTGAAAAACAATGAAATTATGAAGGCAAAAAAAGCAAAAAAAGAATAAAATAGTTCAGCGAAAATATTAATATATGCAATAAATTGTTCGAGTTGAAATAATCAATATAATGTAAAATTATAAATCGTAGCAATTATAAAAAAGTATCACCGAGAAACTAGTGAAGGGATCCCATTCTAACAGTTAATAATCAGTGGAGCTATCCAAACTAGAAATAACCAGTACTGTTGGAAATATTATAAAGTAATCGATATTCAATAAAAAATATTAGACAGTTAAATATTAGACAGACAGTCATCACATGAATCTTGACAAAATAATACCTCGAAAGTATACCTAAATAACTATTACAAAATATGAAAATATGAAGAAAAGACATACGGCATATCGCTGACTACGTATATCTCCGGCAGAATTATTTGCATAATTTTTAGAACGTCGACGAAATCGGTGGTCGTTAAATAAATAAGGATGTTTTTTTTGAAGGTTGGTCAATTCACTTATTGCTTCGATGGCCATCGAAATTCCGTTAATTATTGAGCACGATGAAAGATCTGCTTTAGCGTCCGGAATACCACATAAAGTAAATGAACTGAGTAACTAAAAATATGAATATGAAATTGACTTTTCTCACATAACAAATTTTGGCGCTTATCGGCTAAACAGACAAAGCTATTGCATGTTGGCATGCTTGCCATCATTTCTCTTTCTTTTTTCTATTTTTGTTTCCTCTATTTAATTAATTATTTTTCTAATATCTTATTGCCCACATCACTTTTCATTTTCCATTTTCCTTCTTCTCCATAATATTTTCCCAATAATTTCACCAACAAAAAATATCTTTACTCTTTTTTCACGATAAATATAGAAAATTTTTAAACTTTTTTTTTGAACTGAAGGAAAAAGAGAAAAAATACTTCAGAGAGTGGAACCAATTGACTATCCCATGTCGTTGTTAAAAATCGCCCAACAAAATCAGAAATAACGAATCTTAGCAAACGAGTTCCATCTGGAAAGATTTCTTCAACAATACGATGAAATTCTAAAGCCGATTCAACAGCACACGTCCATAAACTTTTTTCTATCGCAGAAACGACACGCATTTGACCCGAAACTGAATCGCGAATCGATATATCAATTTTCTTAAAAAAAATCCTCTTTTATATAAATGCATGAAATTAATTTACAAATTTATCACTTTTAGAACTATCCTCGTACCTATAAATATCTGATGGCTTAAACTTCCATATAACAAACGTTACATTTCTAAACGAAATCATCTCGCGCAACGCCCCAGCGAACCATTTGCTTATCAGTTATTTCCTAGCATATGTGCAATTATGGCGAGAATAGAGTGGGATGAAATCTAATTTAATATTTTTGCACTAATTTAAGCAGCTAAACTCAAAATCCCGTCAATAAGAGCGAATGAAAATTGTCTCGCTTTTTTCCTTTCTCCTCTCATCTTCGTTCTTAAATCCTTTTTCTTAATTATCCCCTATCGTTATAATTCATCGCACAACTTAGAATAGTTCACACCAGTAACCTAATAGCCTTTTTTTCACCGTTTTCCCCGATACTACTAATTCATTGGAAATAATTTTGGATCGCCAGTTCATTCAAATAACCGAGAATGAATTGAGATGACTCGCATCTCGATTCGGATATAAAAAAACCAACGTGATTTGACATAACACCAAAACCGGGCGAATGATCGACCACAACGACCGTTTTATGTTGATTGCCAATTGGAATGCTTGACGGTGAAATTTTTTCATTCATATCCCATAATAATGATAATTTATTGAAGTAATTCGAACAATCTTCCGTCATTATTAACTGAAATGAGAAAAATGTTCGAAAGACTGAAGGAAAGATCGGTATTTCCCTTCACCTAACAATAATAATGAAGGAAGGTCATCGCCATTGACACTTTTCTGCATTAAATAATATAACCCCACTGAGGGTTGCGGCGATGCACTTGAACGATCCTTTCCCCACAGCACAGCAGAAGTCGAGTAGCGAGAGCTTCGCTTCTCTCGAGTAACGGGCAAAAATCGAAACTGCAGCACTTCGCCGCGTAGTAATTTATCTGCCCCAGTCCGCTAACCTCTCTGTTTATTTCAAATTTTATTTCCCCATCAGCCACTTCGAACGTCGAGTGAAAAGAAAGGCAAATCGAATTGACAACTGAACCGCTGATTTAACGATTTCGATTCAATTTCAAATTAATTAATTATTATAAATTATTTAACAATTAATATCATTTATTTCACGATTTAATAACAATTAAATATCTCGAATTATGCATGGCACCGTCGACCCAACTACACTCCCAAATCACCTTAACAACCTGCGGAACAACCTAAACCAAATATTTTCCCCACACTTAGATGAAACGGTAAAATAAAAAATTCAAATCAGAAAATAGCAGCCGCCAAACCTCAGCCGATGTATAGCAATTGTTACCATTTGGAATTATCTGGTGATTGAGGGTAAGGTATAAGCAATTGGAAAGGGAAAAATGCAAATAGGTACCTTTGGTTTATTTCGTAAGCAAGGTCTCTTTCTGTTTCTGTTCATTTTTTTCATTTCCCCAATAAATGGACAGCGCTCACGGTTAGGTCCGCTTCTTCACTTATTGCTAGTATTATAGGAAACTTTTGCCGGGGAATCACTTGGTGACAGAAATGCAGGTGGGTCAATGAGACCACCCGGTAAAGTGCCCGAATAATATGTTTGAATAATCCAACAATCGCATGAAGAAGAAATTTTATGCGAAATATAATCAAGACAAAAAATAACGATGAAAATTTTCAAAATTTCTAAAATTGTAAAATTTTCCAGTCGAAATTTCCGCCGCTTAAAATTAATCCAACTTTTTTGTAACTCGACAATAATATTGGATATTTAAGGAGAGCGGCGAAACACATTGCACCCGTTGGCTCGACTGCTTGCTGCAGAATTTATTTTTCTTATAAAATAATTCATAAAATTTCAAATGAAAGAAATTTTACCTTTAAACGGCTATAGATTAATTTCATTGCATTAGTGATATCGTTATCATTCTGAAATATATCAAAAACCGAAAAAATTGAAGAAATAAGGCATTGTTGAATTCGACAATTTCATTATAAATTTCCAGTTTTTAATCACTTGATGCAAAATTATGAAATATGATTGAAAAAAATAATGACAAACCACAGTGAGAACAGAATGTTCACAGTAAGATAACAGTTGAGGAAAATTTCTTTCTCCTACTGCAATAACTCGAACTCCATCAGCGATTGTATCTACTGGAAATGCGTTTACATCCCATAATCGAGTTTTTGCTATAAATGATTTTTCCAGTTCTTTTCCTTCAGGTTCCACGCAAAACACTAAATATAATTTTCCGCTTTGAATCTCATCTTCGAGTAGTTACTCACCAGTGAGTATAAAATGGGCCAATTAAGACCAAGCACCATGAGTCCGATTCCAGCCAAAGTTAAATTCGGATGGTGCTGAACTTAAATAACTGTCTGGCGAAAAATTTTTACCTTATTAATCAGTGAAATCAGTCAAACCAAAAATGATAGACCAAAAATGGTAAAAGTAGTAGAATTTTAAAAGGCAAAGAATTTACTGTAAACCTTTAATGTTTGGCTTTAAGGTGGCGATTGCAGTGCTAATACCAGAACATAATCCTCCACCACCAACTGGAACTAATATTGCATCAAGATCAGGAACTTGTTCCACAAGTTCAACTCCAACAGTGCCCTAAACGGAACATTTTAAAAGATTAAATTTTTTACCATTGATAAATCACATCTTAATAGTAAACGCTCAACGAGCAAACTTGTCCATTATCCAGTAATTTGAGAGAAAGAATATCTTTTACTTGACCGGCCATCACTCGATAATCGTCAAATGGTTCGATTAGTTCCCAGTTGTTCTCCTTTTGTAGTTTTTTTGACAAAGCATCTCTAAAATCAGCCCAAACATTACGGCCAGCGAGAAAAAATTTGACATTTTCCAAAGTAAAAGAGAAGCTGTTTATATTTAATTTATGGAAAGAAAAAAAAGACTTTTGGAAGTTTACTATACGAAAGAATAATTTAACTTTTAACTGACCTTTCATGAGCTGGACATTTAACAATTTCCGCACCATAACCTTCCATTGCATCTATTTTTGAATAAGGCGCATTATCAGGTGCAACCACTGTACAGTCAATAGAGAATAACTGAGCAGCCCATGCCAGAGCTTGGCCAAAATTACCGCTACTATGTGTGATCAAAAAAGAATTTTATAAGAGTAACAAGGGGAATGCGAGGACTGCTGGCAGCCTCTAATCCGTGCAATCTATCGAATAAGTGCATTTTTCAAAAGACCATGACCAACTGTTGATTTAAAACATTATAAAACATGCGTATGTTAACAAAAAATTTAAATATTGTATCGAAAATTAATGAAGGAAATCAGGAAAGTAACTTACCACTGGACGTTTACCACTTTCAATTAGCATTTTCACCTGAAATTTTTTAGCTCATTTTATTGAATCATTTAAATCATTGCTGTTGCATCCATTTATTGAAAACCCGGCAATTTAAAGCTAAACTTCCTTACCGAAAATGCTAACATATTTATTTATTATATAGCAATAAGTAGACTAACCGCATTTAGTGCACCACGACTTTTAAAAGAACCGGTTTTCTGTAGATGTTCACATTTAAAATAAACTTCCTTATTGCATAAATGGTTAATAGTTGACGAAGTTAAGACAGGTGTTCGGTGAATCGTTCCAGCAATACGCTTCTTGGCTGCTAAAATATCTGCTAACGAAAACTGAGACATATAGTCGAAGAGCGGAAAAGCCGGAAATTTATTTTTATATTATTTCATCTCATAAAATTTAAACGCAACTTCTTATGGAGTGCATCATGCATTCACGGTTGGAAATTCATGATCCACAAAGTCGATATTGCTGCTAAATGATGTATTGCTTGAATTCTCATTTCTAGTGACGAAAGTGAATCGTTTGAATCGAACCAAACTGGAAATGGTGAAAACCGGCCAATGACTCGTTAGCTTATCAGACCAGATAAATTTTGCCAGGAAGTTATTTAACGATGTAAACAAGTGGCATAAATAAATAAGCCAGAGTCACTAGGATTTTTGAAGGACAGCCGCTCCACACGAGGAAGAACACCTCGCCACTGGCGCTAAACCCAGCAATTAAGCCATCCTCGATTCTCGATAGCAACCTTGCAGCCAAGCAAATATTATTGCGAAATTGCAGAAATAAATTGTCTTACCGAAATAATGCTCACGCCGAGATTAACTCTAATTAGCTATACCTCAGTGTGAAATCGCTTATGCCAACGCATTTCCAGTAAAACTGGCTTTGTATTAAATTACCTACAACTTTCCACAATGTTCCTTACTTTTATTCTTATTATTTATTCTTTACACAAAATAAAAAATATTTGCGATTCATGTAAAAACATTTGTAATGAAATATAATTGGTAGCAAAAAATAATAAATCAAATATTCGTATTTTAAAAATATTATAACAAGAAAGTAGAAAAATATTTTCTGAAAGTTAATCTTCACAAAACGAGAAACAATCAACAAATCAGAGGTAAACAAATACGCCGGTAACGGTAGCGATAACTACCAGAAAGATACGAGATGGAACCGCTCCAAACAAATAACAGTGACCGACGACTGGCTTTGATTAAGGTCAAATAACCAGGAAATGAAAACCGGATTCTGCCCCACTAGTATTTCTACTTCCAAATGACTGACGAAATTTCATTCAAGTAATCAGCAGAATAAGTTAAATCAGAGATAATGACTGCTGTTATAAGAAGAAAAAACTAATAACAATAACGGAAATAAAAAAACACCAAATTATTTGATGAAGAAAATAAAATTTATGCATTTTCTTAAAATATCATGGGAAAAATGAAAAAAAAAGGCGAAACAAAAAATTTCTTTTTCCAAAAGGCCTAAAAGATCTTTCAAGATCCTAGAAATTTTAAAAAACTAAAAATTCACTCTTAATTGATTCAATAATGTTTTAATAGAAAATACAATCAAGAAAAAATCGAAATTATAATTAATATTTAAAAAACAATATATCGTCAAATTCGACCTCATCACCATGTAATTTTTCTCAACGATTATTTTTTTTTATATAGGAAAAAAGTATGAAACGAAGAATAATGAAAATAATGAGATCGACTGAATCAAAATTAGAAAAAAAGCCCGAATGGTCTGAATACAATAGGTAACTAATTCAATAATTTAGTTATGCCATAAATCAATGTTATAGCAAATAAAAAGAACAAAGCTTGACGCAATCGAAGTGAAGCAAGTTTTTTCAAAAAAAAGATTAGAACTCTTATGAGGTAAACGAGTAATAAACGTCAGTTATTTATACCTATACTTATACCTAGTATGACGCATTGCATTCGACAAAAAGCCTGGTATGAATGCTTATTGCTGATTTTATTTTTTCAAAAACTTCAGGATTTTGGCTATCCAGATGTTAGACATTAACAATCATTCCTGAGAAACAAAGAAAAAAGTAGAAAAAATGAGGCGTGATTCTTGCAAATGTAATGCCTATGGTGGCAACAATGGGTAACCAAAAAAAGTATCGGAAATCTTCGAAAAAGTAAAATCAGTCACAAAAAAATAAACAAACAATCGACGAATTTCCAGAAAACTGTTGCAAAATGTCCAAAAAAATTATGAAGTGATGTTATCGAATAAAATTTCAATATCTAAAATAATACTGAATTATCACCGATTACGGCCTTATATGCATATTAAAACATTGAAAATTGCATATAAAGAAAAAAAATGTAGCATAGAATTTTCAAGACTTCTAAATTTTCCTTGTCATTCATCAACGGACGAATAATCAAAAATTAGTGAAATATAGTTTCACATAAACTATAACCCATAATCTGACAAAAAAAACATAATTCATTGTGTGTTATCGACCTGAAATAACAATGAAAGTGAAATGAAATGAAATTTGCGCAATGAACTGTTCCTATGCGCAGACTGAAAATCTAATGATATTTTTTCAAACACAAAAAATGCCGACAAATTCCTAACAATTTCAATATCAAAAAATTAGAGTAAAAAAAATGCAAACTCGATTATAAATGAGCAAAAATTTTCCTTTATTTTTCTGTCAAAACATTTTCTTTTCCAGAGTTTACAAGTTTCTTAATATATTTAAATATTTTAAAAATCTTAAATTATTCAAAAAATTTCAAAAGCATTCCAAAAATCAATAAAAAAGAAGCAAAGAGAGAAGGACAAACTAACTTGTGGATCTGATGGAGCTTCTTCAGCAATTGCACTTTTTTTATCAGTGTCACGATCAGAATGGTTAGTGATAAATGATTCCTCAATAATCGTGTGTAAAGGTGAGTTTTTCGAATTACTGTCCACATTATCGTTGAAATAATTTTCAGCATGATCAACAACGAATCGGAGAGCTTCCATATGCTTTTCCATTTCCTTCAAAATTTGCAATTTGAAAATACCAAAAAAATTATCAAAAATACATCAACATTTCGCATTTTTCGATTCAATTTTGACATCAATCATTAAATAAGAAATATTTTTTAAAATATTCTGCAATAGGCAAATTCTATTAAATTCTATCAGTTCTATTAAAATTGATACCTCAAAGCACCAGAGCACTCAATGGGGAAAACTTACTCGAATATTTTCGAGATTAAAAAGTCAATCATTTTTAAATTATTTTAACCTGTTTTACACAAATAAAATGGAAAATTTTCGTCAGACTTACATTTAATGATTCATTCAAAAAATCGACAGCTTTTGGACAGATTATTGTAAATGGTAAAGCAAGTGCCCAAGAAGCACTTACTAGAGATGAAGCACGTGCTTCCAATAGACGAACATCAACCTATAGGACAAACATTAGAAGTTTTTTTAAAATTATAGATCAATATCTTCAGCGCTCAAAGTTATAGTGAAATTTCAAAATAAAATTAATATGAATAGAAAAATATACCAGGAAAATAAAAAAAATAGAAAAATATACCAAAAAATACTAGAAAAATTTTTTTTCAACATGTGCAAATTAATTTTGAAAAAACGACCTGTTTGGTAGCCAAAGTTTTTATGAGATCATCGAATCGAGGCATAATGCGATGTGTTGCAATCAGTATAGATTCATTTAACTGTTCATTAATGGAATTCAAGGAAATTTTTGCCAACTTTTCAATAACTGAATGGCTTAATTTCAATATAGCAACGCAATGTTGCAGTAGACCAGACACATCATAAATCCACTGATTATTTTCCAAAATTTGTGCTGAAGTTAATAATAAGATTTACGCCCGAATTCTATGGCTGATCTGAGACTATTACCTGAGGTGAGAAGGTACCTAAGAAATAACTTCTGCAATAGTAAAAAATTATGCAAAAAGTCAAATTTTCCAGAGAAACAGAAAAATTAACTTCTATTTAAAAAACGAATTTTTCAGATATTTAGACAAAACCATTATTTAAACTCATAAAATTATGCCTTTTAATTTTTAAAGGTTTCTTCATCATCTCATTTTTATTTTTTTTTCTGCGCTTATTTCTACTTTTCAGTCTCATCTATTGCTTTTATTATTATAGAACCACTTTGACACGACTTATTCCTTTACTCCTGTCAAAGACAGGCATTAATATTTTATAGTATTATTCATTTTATATTATTATAAATTTTATATATATATTTCTATTCCTTGTATTTAAATTTAGAAAAAGAAAAAAAAAGGAAAAAAAACTAGCTCGCAGTTTATAGTAGTTTCATAAAAATTCTAGAAAAGATATTCCGAAAAAAAAATTAAGCGGAATAGTAATAGAATCGCTTAAGACCAAATCAGATTCCAAAATCTCAAAATAAAATAAAATTCAAACTTGGGCAATTAAAACACTGGAGCCGTTGGAGCCAGCCTAACCAGTAATGATGAGAGTTCTTAGAAGAAGAAGAAGAAGAATATTATGCTTGATTAATTAATTAATATCATCTAATTTGATTAATATTATATAATTTATAAATTTAACGATGAAATAAAATGATATTAAATAACAGCAAAGAAATGTATTATACGAAAAGCCAGGAGAACGTAGTTTTTTATCATCCTTTATTTTCTTCCTTTCCCTCTCATCCCATTCTTTCATCTCCCGCAAAGACAACATACGCCATTTCCTCACCAATAATTTGCAATAATTTATCCATTCCCTCACTCAGTGAAACATATTGAACGAATCACGAAAAAAACCAACCAACAAGTGGACTTAGCTGCACTACTGTATCCGAATTTTCGTTACGTAGTTTTGAAAATTTCAATGGAATCGAAACTTGTTCCTTGAAAAATTGCGCTCGCCTTTGACACATCAAAAACATAATAAATGAAGAAAATATAAAGACTGCAGCAAGTACAATTAATGCGAGACATACGACAATATCCATCCTGAAAAAAAAAGCTGGACGTGGATATTTCTTGCTTTAGAAAGATTCATATGCGAATTGAACTTTTAAAATACTGTATTTATTAGCTATCTCACATCTTTTCTTGTCCTAAATTACTTATCATTTTTGATCTAATTAACTTCATTGACTATTATAATGAGTGAAATTTCTTCATTCCAGAGAACCAATGGGGATAGGATACAATTCAATCTCCAAAATCATCTGGATTTCACATTTACTGGTCGGCATACCCATTTCACGCTCAATAAACAGGTTTATTCCCGTCAGGTTTTTTTTTTATTCCTAACAATCAAATCTATGGCGTTTGACTTTAACTACATTTAATTCGGCCATTCGAAGCGAAGTTTTTATTTTTATCAACGTGATATTCTTTATATCAGTAAATGAGTCACAATGAATAACCTGCAGCTAAAAACAGTTTCAAATCCAATTAAAAAAATGCGATTATCAAACATTTGCATCAGAAAAATATAATTGAACTTGAAAATTTTGATGAAAATGAATTAAAGTGATTGCTGAGCAACAAATTAATGAAATAAAATAATGCTAATATAAATTATAAACATCAAACAAATTAAAATAAATATTTCAAATATAATAAATATAATATTTGAAATACAGAATATAAATAAAAGTAAATTAATATAAAAATCACCAATTTTCTGCAAAAATTTCTTTTAATCTTTGATTTCAATGAACAAAAATTTCATAAAACGCAGTTTTTTTTTCAGATTGAATAAAAAAGAAAAAAAGCAAAGTGAAAGCATTCTCACCATTCTTTCTCAACAAACTCAGAAATATTTGCCGGAGCCGCTTGGCGATAGGGAGGTCGCAAGTACTCCCATAATTAATTAATGTCCATACCCATAAACTATGCCCATTCCGGGAAAGAACCCTTCCCTTTTAACACAAAAATATGAGTCGCTATCCATTCACTTATCAGTCACTCTATCATTACGTAACTGAAGGCAAAATTATCGACAAAGTTTATAAAAAGATATGATAATTGATCAAAAACTACCACCTTCTTGCAATTTGTAATCGAATTTCTCATTAACTGTTTCAGTAAAGTTTTTTACAAAATTGACAAGAAAATCTGATGCAAACAATGAAGAGACTCCTCAGTAGTCAAGATAGTCCCAAATGAATGCATACCTTTCACCAAATTCGCAGAAAAATCCATATTTTCGGTTCGATTTGCTGAGAAATCGATAGCTTTCGGCAGTTTCTCAGCAGAGATCTCTAGTAAAAAAAATTCAAAAGCCGCTTTAAACATTAAGCAAACTTTCTGGCGACAATTTTTATTAAAAATACCAACTTCAATGCCAAATTCTTTCAGGCCGAAAGTTTCAGTTGGAACTAGACTAAGAATTATTGGTACATTAAAGCCAGAAATTCACGTAAACAATAAATTGTAAATTAAAATTAAATTAATTACAATAAATAATGATAGAAAATTCCAAAAATAAACGAAACACTTCTAGCCGACTTTTAGAAAATGACCTCGATTTACCCCTAACTGCAATTGCCGGCCGCGGTCATGACTTTTGCGGCACTCGTGGCAGAATTTTTTTATTCAATTTAAATAAAAATCTTCGCTACGACAAATTTTTTTTCCATTTTTTATTTATTTATATTTCTTTAAATCTTTTATCGATTTTAATGGCCCTTTTATTATTTACATGATTCTGTTGGAAAATTCGATTTTGGCACATTTCGGTTATGTGGGCAGCACAAATGGTATATTTAATTTTTCTCAATCCCTTTGTTTTCGTTATCGTGGTACTATTCCCTCATCAATAATTCTTTCATCATTATCTTCTTGTAGATTTTTGCTTATCGCAAAGATGATTGATATAGACCTCACAACTGAACATATCTGAAATTTCTTCATGAATTTTTGCTGATTTTTTCCTTTTCACATATTCATATATTCAAATATATTTATGGTATTAATTATATGTTTTAATGAGGCGACTCAAACATCATAAAAAATAAAGCATTTTTCTCATTTCCGAGGATCGGTGGAGGGGACGACAAGGAGATCAACTATTATCGTATTTGGTTTATTCTGCTAAATTAAATTACACTATCGACTGGGTGGTGACATTTTTTCTCTTTACCTTCCCACCATTTGACTTTTTGACCTTTCACTTTTTAAATTCTGCTCGGCCATCTCAAAACAAAGCGAATCTTTTCGGAAGAGATTTGTTTCAATTTCAACCTTGATTTATTTATTTTTGGAAAACTTCTTTAGGATCAGTATTGTAAAAAAGGGATTCTTTACGTATTTGCTGCAATATAATTCGATTATAAGGAATTATATAGGGGACAGGATAGACGAATGAGTATATATTGGTTTAGACTAATGTATTTAGAAGCAACGGCTCGACTTCTGCTCTCAACGCGAGTCGATGGCGATCTTCCTGTACTTCTTTACTTCTATCACCGATTGCAGAAATTTTTTGTCAGCGAAGCAAGCTTTACCAGAAATAATGAACGCTAACCACGCTAACCACTTGCTAGTGCACCATAAAGTCGAAGGTCTTATACAAAACGAGTGTGGGAAAATTTTAATTAGTGATTAAATTTGTGATAGAAAGTAATGCATCAAAGATCACAGAGATATTTCTTTTTGGATTCTAGTTCTATATTTATGTACTTTTTGTTAAATTTTTCAAATTTTTCATCTAAAAAAACATTTTTCAGATCAAAAAAAATTTTTTTTCGAATTTCTAAATTTCTTCAATTTCTAATTTCTAATTTCAAATTTCTAAAAATCAGATTTTTAAAATTCCGTTGAAATTTATGTCTCCAGCTGTCGTTTGGTGTCTGAAAAAATCCATTAATTAGCCAGTTCGTGGGAGGGCCAGTGAGTCGATCGGTTGGATGGTTGATTGGTTGGCGAGTCGGTCACGCAGCTGGTTGTTTGGCTGGCTGGTAAAAATAATTATGATTAACGATTTAAATTAGTTTTAGATGGTTAGTTGATTAGCTAAAAGTAAAAAGTAAAAATAAGAGTAAAGAAGTTGGAATAAAAAAGAGAGTAATATATGAGGATAAAATGTTGTAAACATGTAAAGCAAGGTAAAGTAATGGGAAGGAAGTGAGGGAAAGGCAAAGCGAAGAATGAAGAAAGAAATGTTGGGAAGAGGAAGGGAAAAGAAGGCAAAGTAAGGGACGGGAAGGGAATTTATAATCGACGGGTAGGAAAGAGAGGGCTGTCGATTCTGGCCAATCATCATTCATTCACAAACAAATTTCAAAGAGCATAACGATTTTTGATCAGCTAAAAATGACGACAACGACGATGCATCGATAATAAATTATTTTAGAAACTCTAAGTACGACGTTTTAACTAACAATTTTTAACATAAATCGAACTTTTCCATTTTGTTTCCACTGACGTCATCGTTTTGAAAAACTATTTAAAATATTTATTGAAATATGCGAAGAGAAAGAAGAAGTAGTGAGTACTTAATGTACTTGAAATGTGCTTTTATAAAAAATTACTTCGAAATTCCCTCATCCCCCACTTCCCTTCCTCAACTTCCGTAAAATCTCTTTTATAAGTTATGGAGCTGTGGCCATCTAATGGAAAAGTGGCACCATGTCGAATTATAGCTCTTCAGCTTCAGTGGACTGGAAAAGTGCTTCAGACAATGTACAGCTCTTTCTGTCTGACTTAGCCCTTGCGATCTTCTTTTCTTCCTTGCCTGACCTTATGATTCGCACTTGACCTTTTGACTTGTTTCGATAATTCATCTCAACCCGAACTGATTACAGTGCAACGTCGTACAGTGCTGAGGTGTATATGTATTTCAACTATACACATATCGACTTAATCATGAAAATAGCAAGTCAATGAAAGAGGAAGAAGAGGAAACTCTTGTGTAGTAGAGTACTTATTTTGAGGAGACATGGGCAGTTATAGAACGGGGCGATGCATGGCTGCGATGCGGGAGACACCAGAAATATGTAAATATAAAAAATAATATGGGAAACCAGAAAGTGGGTGGAATTATTGAATTTTTAATGCCTTTAATTCTTTGCATCTCTATTTCGACGAGCTCTCTCGTCCATTCCGTATGATTCTCCTTTTTCTCTCACCGTCTCATTTGTTTCGTTCTCATTGATTTTTTAATCGATACTGGCGACAAGTCCAAGAATATTTCTGAATTGGTACGGCGCGAGATTTTCTTTATTTTTGAGCGAATTTTTTTTTAGTACTAAAGGTCATTGAAAGGTCACAGGTCGCCTGGTGAACTGGTTCGCATGAAATGAGTGAAATTCGAATCATTTAGCGATGATATTGGTTTATTGCGATAAAACACTCTACGTTTTGTTTTTTTAGTTTGGTTAATTTCAGTAATCGATGACCTAAAAGTTCTATGAAAGTAGGTCAAGGAGACACGAAGTGACCGTCATAGAAGTCAAAGATCAAATTTTGTTGTGGGATTATGCGAAATTGTGCCATCCGCTGTATTCGATTATTTTAGCTAATACTAATCACATCGCTTTTACCCGATTTTTAGTTGTTATGAATGAGTGAACTGTTTTTTTATACAATGAAAAAATGTGGAAATTGAGCGGAAAAATAATAAGCTAAACCCGGTGTGTTGTTCAGCGAAAAGCAGATCATTAGATTATGATCTGTTTCGAACGGATCGAAGGCTAAAAGCTTTTCAAGAAATCGGCGATTGCCATTCAAGTTATGAGAAACATGGAACTTGCATAGAAAATCATTGCTCTATATGTTCTGAGGTCATCATATTGTGGTCGTAGGTTGCTCTGTGTCCGATTTGTTATCGACCATCATATACGAACTGACAGTCTTTATGCTGGAATTGTGGGTCATCAACTCCCAGCTGTCGTATTTTTGAATTACAGATCATGTTCAGACCCACAGATCTTAATATTTGAGTTGGTTGAGGAGGTCATCTGAGTAATCATAACCCGAGTGTTACAAATTATTATATCCGAAAGTAAATTCATCGATCTAATAATTACTTATAATTTTATTGCTTTAGTAATTAACCAAATGATTTTTAGGTTTTAGATGCTAAATTATTAAATTCCAGTTTCCATTAAGTCTCATCAAATTTTGCACATTTCAAGTTAAATCTTTGATAAAGTGATAAGAAAATAATGAAAGTGACCGTTTTTTAGTGAAAATCAAAGGAAATTATTTCATTTCAAAATTTATACGAACGAAAATGAAACGTTAAAATCGTTTATTTTAATAGCAGAAGAGTCACTGTAAGAGTTTTCTCGAAAAAAAATGTGAAAAAAAGGAAATAAAAAAGGAATCATGTGGGAATCATGGAGTTTTATATTGCTTCGGCTAAAATCACAATGATTTCAAAAAGCCTCTTAATAATGGAAACCTGTTGCTAGAATTCTATCCCCATGTGGGTCCACGTCGAAAGAATCTTGGCTTAACAGTTAATGGAGTTAGCCGGGAATGGAGATTGTCCTGAGCCACGTTTGGTGGAATTTTTTAGAAACATTTGTCAATTAAGGTGTTTTAGAAGTTATTTATTTGCCGTTGAGATAGGCGTTGGAGAATTAATTGTATAGTTCTACTCACTTATAATTAATGTATAGACGAGTCTTTTTGTGCATGAACTATTCATTCTTTTATAAATGAATAGTGAATGAATGACCTCTTTTGACCTTCGAAGACAAAATGAGTTTACCGGCAAGTTATTATTCTTTTGACTAACAAAGTAATAATTTTTTTTAAAGAGTCCTCACCATTACCGGTTAAACTCGCTCCATTGGCTTGTTGCATTGGGCAATATGTCCCTTGGCGATAGAGATACAGGTGAGTCGCCAGCATCACCCTTATTTTTGTACAGGTGTACTCCTGTGGGGAATCGAACCTCAGCATCGGCGCTCCTAATTGAGCAACAATCTACTGAGCCATTCTCTTCCCGACAAAATAATACTTTGGAACAAGTATTATTTTTTTTTATTCCTTTATTACAAATGAATCGCAATAATAAATTTGTTCTGATACTGGATCATCTGTTGCATCCGTCTGTCATTTGCGCGTCAACGTTTCACTTTTATTTTGTCTTGACGATATGAATTTTTGAATTCTCGGCTTAGGCTTTAAGAGGTTCGTTGTTACCGTTCTGGCGTTCAAGGTCTGTAGAATTATAAAATGTACTTGAGTAGATGAGGTGGCGACCAGCTGCGCGCGCGTCCTCAGGTACACTATTGACCAAAGACCATTTGCTATCGGTGGCACGAAAGCCAATTTTTCCTTTTTCTCTTTTTAATTCTCTCCATTCATCATTTTTTTCTCTTTTTCTTTCCCGTTTTTGCAACATTGTTTTTTCTCTAGCATGTTTCCCCATCGTCTTTTCCCACTCTCCCCTTATTCCCTTGAACCTTAATCATTTCTCCTACACTCTCTCAATATTGTGTAATATTTTTTGTCATCATCCTTTCGTCCTTTTGTGATAACTAATAGTCTTTTCTTCGAAACTTTTGATACACTATGCTATTTTATTCTCTAATCCTCCACATCACACGTGTTATTTCGCTGTCTATTCACATTTTAAAGGCATTTTGCATTGACAGTTCATCCTTTCCTTCCTTCCCGTTTGCGTTTGCGATTATTGCCAGCTGCTTTATGTTTTATTATTTTAAAAGGGAGAAAAAATTTCTTTGGTACTGTTTTTCTATTTCATCTCCTTATAAATAATCCCCACCCTTTGTTAAGGGAATGCGATTTTTTCTCTGGAAATTTGAGAATTTTTTTATCGTTTATTTTTTATTTTTTTAATTTTTATTGGTTTTATTTAATTTGTTGAAGCATATGTTTGAAAATATTTAAAATATTTGAATATAATGAAAAATGAAAATTTTTTAATAATTTTATTTAGACGATGAACAGTTGTTTATTTATTTATTTTCAGCGACATTCAAATATATATTTTTCGTATTATTTTCTGTTAATTTCATTTTTACATTTCAATTAAGTTTTTATTAATTTTTAATCTTTATTTGAGAGAGAAGCGCAGAACATAACATAAAGTGGATATTTATTTATTAATCTAAAATTATTTTAAAATTAACAATTTAAATATGTTTTTTAGCATTATTTTTTTTCATTATTTTCCAGTAGTAGTGAATTTCTTTTACGTGCTTTCTCACACGAACTTAGCGTCACTCGTGCTTGATTGAGTTTAGTGTCAATTATTCGATACCGCATTGTTCTACATTATTATTATTGTTATTTTATTATTATTTTATTGTATTTCAGATATTTCGTTTCGTTTGAAAGAAAGAAAAACCGGTTTTGCCGGTTTTTTCCTACTATTATTATTTGTTAAGGCCAAGGTTCAATCCGACAAAAAAACTGTAAAATTTATCCTTTCTAAATTAATAAAGTTATTGAAATTTTATTGAACTAAATTTTTTAAATATTATTTGATGAGAAAAACAAATGCTTATAAATGTGTAAAAATTAATGCTCATAAAGGTATGAAAAAAGATGAAAAAACATGTAATAATCGCACTAGGCAAAGTGCACTGTACGAAAGAATGTGTGCGTTTGCAATGAATAAAATGGCAGAAATCTTGCTTTAATTAATGGAATTATTACCACATTGTCGTCTAATTTGTTTCAGCTAAGTCCAAGAAAATCATTATTTGCATTTGTATCGTTATATATTCGCCTTCGCATAAGATTTCTTATTTTATTCGTTCAGTTTTGTTCTACCATCAAAAGAAAACCACAGTATGTAGAATTATCATTTACTGCATTTCATAACATTCATCGCGACGGCGTTATCAGCCAAAATTATCATTATCGTTGTAATTTTCTCATTTTTATCATTAAAATTATAAATTCTGTATTTGAGCTTGTCGTGGTTCCTTTTTTCTTTGTTGTTTCAAAAAAAGAAAATTTTTCGCCTTTGCTGTTTTTCATTTTAGTGGTAAAATGATTGGAATAATAAATAGCAATAGTAATAATAATAATATCAATAATAAATAATAACAATAAATAACAATAATATTAATAATAATTATAATGATTATAATAATTATAATTATAATGCAATTATAATATTAGTAGTAATCACCAAATTTTAACGTGCAGAAAAGTTAAAATGATAATGATTTAATAATGAAGTGAATACATCGATGGGAAGAAAATTTATAATCGGTTTATTTTCCTTTCAAAATTAATATTATATTGAATGAATTAGAACTGTAAAGGTCAAATATATGTTCATTTATTTGTTCGTGGAAACTGGAAGAAAATGAATTTTTTTCACTTTTTAGTTCATAGTTTTTACTATTAGCGAAAATCAGAAACCTAAGGAGTTACTCAGCAATTGTGCGAGGAAATACTAAGAGCAGTGCTTAGCTGGAGGAAAAAGCACCCGTTACTTTCATGGATTTTGTTATAGTTTCCCACCACTCTTCATTTCGAAATTTATCTCTAAAGAATCAGCCATTGTTGTAATTCCATTTATATTTTCGATATGCCATTTTATGGTCAATTGTGATTTATAGCTAGCTTATCACCGTCGATTCAAATCATTTTTCTTTTAGAAGGGAATGAGTAGTGGGTTTTCAGTTTTTTGTGGTAAAAATCTGAATGGCGTCGCTGATTTCTTTCGGTGAATGATTTCCTGGCAAAATGAAGCGCAAACTTATTTCATGCATCTATTTTTATATATAAAATAAAATAAAGGTGAGCAAAAAAGTATTTTCCATAAAAATTTTATTTTTATAGAAAAACTGGATTTTAAATTAATTTCTTTTTGAAATGGATGTTATTGTTTCGATTGTTTAGCAGTAAAAGGTTAGCGAGCGCGCAATAAATCTGTGGGAATTGTGCATGCTACTTCGGCTAAATTTCTTGCTTTTTTATAAAAGTGGAATAAAAGTAGTTGTTTAAGGTAAAAGGCACATTGGTTCCGCGGGACATCTGGCAGACAGTACCACTAATTAGTTAGTTTTTTGTATATGTTCCAACGTATTATTAGCAAATTCCCATTTAGGCAGCAAGTTTAGAGTAAACTTTACCTGCAAAAATTCCTTTTAGTTCGGTTTTTTTTCATTCGTTATCGTTTATTCGTTCGTTCGATCTGAATACGTTTGTAGGAATCGCCAACGCAGACATCGCATGCTTAGCATCACCTTGCATGTCATTGATCATACTACGTTATGCATCATATACATCGCATACTTTTTTTTCTAAAAAATAAAAGTGGTTGTTTAAAATTTTTTTGAAGATTCCTCACTATTACTAGTTAAACTCGCTCTATTGGCTTGTCGCATTGGGCAATATGCCAGAGAGTTCCTTGGCGATAGAGGTACAGGTGAATCGCCAGCATCACTCGGATTTTTCTACAGGTTTACTCTTGCGGGGAATCGAACCTCAGCATCGGCGCTCCTGATTAGGCAACAACCCAATGAGCCATTCTATCCCCCTTACATCGCATACTTATCAGATGCATATTTTTAATGCGTAAAATACATTGAATCGTTTATATCACCGTCGATAATATTTTAATAAAAGAATAAAACTGATGTAAGATTTTCCCATTTTTAATCTGCATGAATTATGAATTTTTTTTATTTTTTGGCTGTTCTCATCTTACTTTTGTTTTCGAAATTTTGAATGGTAATTTTTAAAAATGCGAGGAATAAATGAAAAAAATTGTGGGCGAATGAATAAAAATTATTTTACTTCAACTTAATAATTCGATTAAGACAGGTTAGGTCATTTATTATGTTATCACTGATTATTTCAAGGTTTATTTTTATTATCGATAAGAAGGCAAATATTGTTTCTTAGAATTTATTGTTTTGATCTGATTGTTTCGCTCTGATCAAATAATCTTTTCATATTTCTTTGAGATACAATTTATTTTTATCTGACTAATAGTAGTATTGCTAGTAATTCTTAAACAAATGCTGGTAATTTTATTGTTGAAGGGGAGGATAAATAGAAAATAAGAAAAATTAGAAGATTGTTCCAAGTGAATTTCAACTTATTTGCATATAACTACATCGTTGTTGATGTTCTGTTTCATTAGTTTCACCAGCGTTAATTTTTTTTATTTTTGTAATGATTTTTTTGCTTTTTAACCAATAATAACTCGTTGATTTGGGACACATTGATCGTTGGTATGTCCATATTGTCGCATGAAGGCGCATTATAGGACATATTGAGTGAGTGTCGCATGAACGCACATTCCACGGACGACAACATAAATGTATTGCACAATGTAGCATGTTGAGTTGTGTCGCACGCTTATCTTAGAATCTTTTCTTCTTAATTTCAATAAATTTATATAAATATTTTTATGTAATTTCATGAAGCGTTTGGATGTCTCGCGCAATGTGCAATTATGTTTTTTTGATTCCTATATTTTTCTTTCGCAGTTGTTATATACTATTTCGCGGCCTAGGAGTTGATTAAGCTTAGGAGAGAAGTGAATGCAAAGATCGTGAAAATACTACGTGATATAAAAGAAAGATGAATTTCGTCATGCCTATCAGTGCGCGCCCTGCTTGAATTGCACACGTAGGGGTTTGAGTTCAGTCTCGATCAATGGATGATTTACTTTTATCAGCTCCGTCAGTTGGTGATTACTGTGTGATTTAAGATGGTTAAATGACCAGTTATTTTTGTTTCTTATCTTTATCACATAATTATTGCCATTGTTATCATCATCACTCAAACTTTTATCGTCTTATCAGTGGTTTTTTAAAATTATTTATTGTTTCAGTGTCTTCCTTTTTCATACTGTTGTCATCGTCCATTCGCTTTTATTTATTTCTAATGTATAAATGAGTTAATTTTTTTTTGAAGTTGAAGAATTTTCAGATAATCGCTCGTAAATCAACTTGTTTGCTCAAAATAGCATCAGGATTTGTAATTTGCTGATTTTGATAGTTTCATTTGATCATTTACTAGTTGCAACGGGATATATGAAAACTGAATGCATCTGATGTTTCTGTAGAATTGTGAGAGTCGTCAGATTCATTCTACTAGTAGCATTGGCACTTTAGTCCAGTGGTAGTGTTTTAGTTGAGAAATAGTGGCGCTGTCTCATTTTAGTATCTCGAAGAGTCGATTTCATTAACATGAGTCAAGTCAACTTGTCTTTAAAAGTAGTACCTGAGTGACGACTCAGATATGCCTCTTTTGGCTCAAAAAATACGCTGGTCATTGCTTCTTATTCCTGTAGTTTGTGGAAATAGTTCATAATGCTTATGCTAATCCATAAAATCTAAATTTTTAACTCCAAAATGGAATTTTATATTGCATATATTTTCGTTTGGTAAAACTAATATTCTAAAAATAAAGAAAACTGGTTTTTCTCAAAAT